ATTAATTAGTTATTTATACATATGTTATCTTTAATATTTTATGTGGTGATGGTAAAAATGCCACCCAAATTGTTTGATTCATTCCATTCAGCTTGCAAATAGCCTTTAATAGCTTTTAGCTTTCCATCTTAGAACCAGTAATTTTCTTGACCATAATATAGCTTTTATTTATTCAAATGTTTATGACTAGATCCTTTTAACATACTTTTATTAATTGACTAAAATGAGTTGAATTCATGTTTCTTAATGATGGCTAAGAGTTTCTTTAAAGGCTGTACAGTTAATATGTCCACTCCTTAATTACATAATTTTTATATATGTGTTTTTAATTAGTAGTAAATTGCTGTCTAACTACAGTTGTTGATTTTGAAAGCATTTTTAATAAAACAAAAATATTTGATTTAAAGATTTTATATTTAAAATCTTCTACATACTATTTACATTACCATGTTTGTATTAACTCTTAAAACATAGGCTATAAAATCATTTTAACCATTAAATAATAAAAGCAATAAAAATGTCTAGATTTATGATAATTTTATAAATAAACACTAAAGTCCTGAAGCTGAAGAAATCATTACTCTTTCCTATGAATGAGTTTAGATATATTTCTTTTTCCTCCAAGCACAAAATATTCCCTGAAAGAATATGTTTACCAGTTGTGACCTAGTTATTATTCCAGGTATTCTTGCCTCTCCGTATCTGTGTCTCTATCTTTAGCCTTAGGTGAGCTTCTGAGCCCCATATGATAGAGGAGTGTAAGTAGCTTTAGCTCTACTTAGCTCTCTTTTCTTTTTGCTAAGGCACCTGTAGACTCAGAGTCTATTGTGGTTCTTTTTTTTTCTAAAACATTCTCCTTTCTTTTTTTTCTATCTCTATATTTATTGAGGCAGAAAATAGGGGCTAAAGGAATAATGGTAAAATTTTACCATTTTTGTTTTAATTGCAAATTTGGTTCAGCAGATATTTATTGCCTGCTCTGAGTCAGGCAGTGAGTTCATTTAGCCCTAGGGAGTCAGTTAGCCCTGGGGAGTCACTGAAGAATAAGCCACAGTCTCTGCTCAGAGAGACAGTCACAGATATTCCTTACTATAATACAAGGTGCTGTAAACAGACTGTTGTGAAACTTAAGGGAACAGTCAGTTAGGAGGGGAAGACTTCCTGGAAAAGATGACATTTGGATTGGGCCTGGAAAGATAGATGGACATTTGCGAGTGAGAAAAGGAGAAGGTATGTTCTAGTTATTGTAAACATTATTTGCAATAACAGAGGGTGTGAAAGTCTGGGGTTTGTTTGGGGAATTGCACAGAATCCATATGACTAAAATATAGTCACTGAAAAGTGAACGGGAAGTTAATTTTTCATGTCAGTTGTTAAGAGTCTTACATGCCATACTAATTTGGGGCTTTATCCTTGGTTTAATGGGGAGCCACCAAAGGTTTTAAAGCAGTGGATTAATGTGATTTTATGTCTGCTTTACTTAGGAGCTGCAAACACAGATGTCTTTAGGGACCAGGCAGGTAACACGTATGTGAAGTTGCCAGATGTAAGACAGTGGGAGGTGATGAGGCCCACAGGACTGGTCAGACCTTGCCTAAAGCCTTTTACATACAAGCTATTTGAAAACACTGTCTGCCAAATCAAACAGAATATTGACCAAATCCAATCTGAAGTTAGACCCCTGCTCAGAGCTATCCCTGAAAGCTTTTTGGAGGATGTTGTACAATGTTTGGTGTACAGTAGGTTGATAGTGTTTGTCAAATAAATGGATGGATGGATTAAAGGGTGGGGGTGTGTGTGTTGTGTACAGAGATTCATTAGGAGGCTATTAAGATAATTCAAGCAAAAGGTGATAACGCTTGAGTTAGGACACAAAATGGAGAAAAGAGAAGCATAGGTGGATGTGAGAAATACTGAAATGGCAGAATCATCAGGATCTGATTAGTAGTTACATATGAAAAGAGGGAAGAATTAAAGATGATTTTGAGATTTCCAGCTTAGATTGAGTGGGTGGTGATGATATGAATCAAAAGAGAGAGAGCATGGGAGAGGGAACAACTCTGAGAGAAGATCCTGATTTTTTGGGGTAAGGGAGTGGGATGAGTTATTTAATTCTTTCTAAGTGCTAAAGCATCATCATGGCTATCTTTTCTGGGGTCTTATTTTGGGGCCTTCAGCTCTCATTCTTATTTTCATTCATTTATTATTTTTTGGACAGAAATTATCCCAGAATCAATTTTGTAAGGAAAATCTCAGTCCTGCCTGCAACCTATATCTGTGGCTGTGGCTATTTTTCAGGCATAAATCCTGGTTAGAGACCTTAATTTTTCTAATAAGGTATCAATCCTACACTGGTGATTCTCAAAGGGTATAGTTTTGCTCACTCTCAGTTTTTACTAGCGAATATAATCTCCAATTCTCAACTTGAATCAAAAGCGTGCTTATGATGAATAGTGTTTGTAGAAAATGGCCTAATTCCTCTAGATGTTTGGACATTTATCTTTGAGACCATCAAAAGCTGGGTACTTGTATTATTATTGGTTTTACTTTTCTGGCAAATTGCTTTTCATCTATCTATTTCTGTGCATCTATATCTATATATATCACATCACTCTGGTGTTATCTGCTCAGCTTGCATTAAAAGGCTCTATAAGAAGTAAATGCAAGGAGTCCATGAATCCATTATTGTATATTCTGTAAGGCTTTTCCCAAGGATGTTGGCCCCTTTATCAAGACTCTGGCAAAATTTTCTCTCGGAATTTAATGCCAGAAAAAGTGATTTTTGTCTCTTTCTTTTGTTTTTTGTTCTTTTTTCCCCTTGAGTTACTAGTGTGTTTTGATATTATGGACACTGAATTGTGTTCTGTGGCCCTCCCTATTTGCTTTGGACTTGGGGATTCAAATTTATAATCAAATAACAACCGTAAAAAACTTTGTACAATTTTGGTGTACCAAACTACATCTTTCACTCGTTCTTAATATTTTATTTTACTTTTGCCTTACTCTTTTTTGTTAAAATGTTTTTGCTATGATTGTATTTATTTTGTTAGATATCACAGATCTTTTTTAATAATGAGATATTATAATTCAAATAATATCGGTTCTGTTTGTTTTTTTTAACTGACTTAGGGAGAATTAAAGGGAACAAAATCAGATTCAATCACATATCCTAAGTGAATAACTCAGTAAACTTTTACAAAGTGAATATAGTTGTGTAATTACCTCCCAGAAATAGAAATAGAATATTTCTAGTACCCCAGAAACTTCTTTCGTGCCCCGTCTCAATCATTATTCTCCCAAGGGTTCTGGCTTCTGTCACTAATGTTAGTTTTGCCTGTTTTGAATTTTATATAAATGGAATCAGACAGTATGTACTTTTTAAACTGACTTCTTTTGTCCAATATTATGTTTTTGAGATTCAGGTGATACATTTTCATTGCTATAGTATTTCATCGTATAAATATATCACACTTTATTTGTCCATTTAATTATTCATAGACAATTGTGTTGCTTTAAGTTTTTTGCCTATTGCAAATAACGCTGCAAGGATTGTATATGCATTTCTGTTAGATAGATATTTAGGACTGCTAGGATATAGAGTGTATGTTGAGTTTCAGTCTATGTTACAGTTTTCTGAAGAGGTGATATCAGTTTCCCTTTTCTCCAGCATTAAATTGAGTGTTCCATTTGCTGTGCATACTTGCCAACATTTGTTGATGTTATTAATTTTTTTTCAAAGATTTTATTTATTTATTTTTTCCCCCCAAAGTCCCAGTAGATAGTTGTATGTCATAGCTGTACATCCTTCTAGTTGCTGTTAATTTTTTAAAAATATTTTTAGCCATTCTGGTTGTTATGGTGTCTTATTGTAGTTTTAATCTGCATTTCCTGAATGCCTAATTGGAGTGCCTATTCATGTTTATTGGCCAATTGGATATCTCCTTTGTCAATTATCTGTTCAAGCCTTTTGCCCTTTATTTTTATTCTGTTCTGTTGATCTGTTTATGTATCCTTATGTTGGTACCACACTGTCTTATTGCTGTAACTTTATAATAAGCTTTTACCTATTTTAATATATGTCCTCCAACATTGTTCTTCAAGATATTCGTGACTATTCTTAGCCCTTTGAGTTTCCACATAAATTTCAGAAGCAGCTTGTCAGTTGCCACAAATAAATAAAAAGCCTGCTGGGATTTTGATTAGAATTCGTTATGCTAGGAGATTGTTTTGGTGAGAACTGGTATCTTAACTATGTTGTAGTCTGTTTACATGGTATATACCTCCATGTATTTAAGTTGTCTTTATTTTAGCTCAGTTTTGTATTGTATATATGTATATTTTCTTTTGTGAGGAAGATTAGCCCTCAGCTAACATCTATAGCCAATCCTCCTCTTTTTGCTGAGGAAGACTGGCCTTGGGCTAACGTCTATGCCCATCTTCCTCCCCTTTATATGGGATGCCGCCACAGCATGGCTTGACAGGTGGTGCGTTGGTGCGTGCCTGGGATCCGAACCTGCGAACCCCGGCCGCTGGAGCAGAGCGTGCGCACTTAACCGCTATGCTACCAGGCCAGCCCCTTGTATTGTATATTTTTTATTAGATTTCTTCCCAGGTATTTGGTTTTTTGAAATGGTATTTAAAAAAATTCCATTGTCTAATTCTTTGTTCCTAGTATATAGAAATTAGTTTTATATCAATTTTGCTATCAATTTTTAATTATTAAATTCTTAGTTTTATCTGTAGATCCTTTAGAATTTTCTACCCACACAATCCTGTTGCTGCTAGTAATGACTCTTTTATTTCTTCCTTTCTAAAATTCTTTTCCTTTTATTTATTTTTCTTGCCTTACTGCACTGTCTGTGGAATCAGCAGCACACTTACTGCTCAGACTATTGATCTGTGAATTTATTGATTATTTAGTCAGCTAACATGCATTTATTTAGCGCTTAGTTTGTCTCTTTTAAAGATAGACACATCTAACTCTCTGTTTTATTTAATAGTGAACTGAATTCAAAGCTGCAAGATACTTTAGAACAAATCGAGGTAAGAAGGATTATATCATAAGTTAAAAGGCTTTTTCTTTTCAGAGGCTTTTGAATAGCATAGATGAATCTTATGTTTTGACTTTTGTGTTATTACCAGTGTTTCTAGGTCATGCTTTATTGTTACTTTTCATTTGGAATAACTGTATGTAGTCAAGTTAGTTTTAATCTACTTGTAAACTCAATAATAGTTTTGGAATTATGGGATCTGAAAACGCTATGTGAAAATATCACCATATCCAGAAAGATCCCAAAACTGTTAGTCATAGGTATGTTCTCATGTAAATTATAGCCAAAATATTTACCATGTATTAATTATTTTTTAATATCAACTACTTCTTTTTAGTGAGTTAATTTATTTAAGAATAATTATTGGCTGATGGAAACCCTCCTAAATCCCTAGACTTCATAGTAATATTTCATATAATTCATAAAAAATGTAGAAACTGGAAAGGAAAAGATATGTCATTGTGAGCATGATGTCTTGCTTTTCCTTCTACATTTATTCGGAGTTCATCTCTTAGCAATCTTTGCAAAGCAGGGCAGTCATTTTAGTAAATTTAATAAGAATTATTTTGTTTCTTCTGGTATTTTATTTTATTGTTTTCCTGATAAGAGTACTTATAAAAGTTGAAGCTGGACTTTCAAGTGACCTTTTGTGAAAGTAGTTTTGGATCATAAACGCAATTATTTACTAATTGTAAGAATGACAATTTATTTGAAAACCATAAAGATAACTGCTTTGAAAATCCCTTATGTAAAAACTCACTTGAATATTTTAAGGAGGACTTTCTTTAGAAAGCCCAATATCTCTTCACTGTTAATATACAATATTATTCTGTACTTATACAGAAAATCATTATTTTAAAATGAAATCATTGAAATATAAACCCATAAACAAAGTGAGTGCATTTAGATAGAAGTACATACCTTCAGGTATGTACTTTTAAGATCAATGTAGTTTTGTTGAGAATTAGTTTTCAGTGATTACAGGAGGATTGTTTTATTATTTTTCAATAGTCCTACAAATTCAGTACATATAATTGTAAGATTTTAGCAGATGCTTGAAGAAACATAGAATTAAGTAAAAATAAAATATAAAATTTCTTTAGTAACTATTATACTTACTTTGTGTCCCTTGAAACACTAGACATGTGTTTTTAGAAACTCACATGTTAATAACATCTCAGTAAACTTGATTATAGTTGGTACTAAATGAGAATTATAATTTATTTATATTTTTATTTAAATTTGTTTTTGACTATTAAATCCAGTGTGATAGTAAATGTGTTTAGATATTAATTAAATGCAAGAAATTAGTCTTAATATTTTCTTTTCATTGCCTTAAAAACATAACTCCTTAACCATCTCTTGCCTCCTCTTTTAACTACATAGGAACAGTTGGATGTAGCTCTTTCCAAAATCTGTAAGAATTTTGACATTAACCATTACACCAAGGTTCAACAAGCTTATCGACTTCTTGGAAAAACACAGGTTCGTTTTGAAAGGATGCTTGCTTTTTTCTTAGTCAAGAATTTGTTGATCTTCATGATTGCTTGAATCTGAATATTATTAATGTAGTGTCCTGTTTCATTTAACAAAGTAAATTTTTATGTTGTAATAAGAGTTAGTAACATGGTTGTTCACATAGGCTCAGAGTGTATGTAGTATTATTAAAACATTACAGAAATTTGTTTTGAACTGTGAAGTGTTAGGTTTAATATTTTCACAATTTTATGTAGGTTTTTAAAAAGTATAAGATAATTCAGTGGGAGAGGATGTGTAGCCTCTTTTATTTACTTCAGCTCTTGGTCTTGAATGAGAACTTCTTAATTTAGAGCTTCATGGTTCCTAGATGGGCGAGCATCGCTCCCTCAAAGTGGTATGTAAACTTTTGTGCATTGTGTACATTTGTCTGTAAAACAGGTCCATTGCATTCATCAGATTTTTTAAAAGATTCTTTTATCCCTAGAATATCCTCACTACTCCCACGATACATGGCTTTCCATACTCTTACTACTCAAGGGCTTCCTTGAAAAACTTGCAGCAGGGGCCATGGTTTGAAAGTTAATTGTACCGTGTGCATGTACAGGATTATACATTTATCTGTAGAACAGCTGAACATGATAGATGTAAATATTTTCTTCCCTTTAATGTCTCCTGTCTTAGAAGGAAATTATATTTCCTTTACCAAAGCATTGAAATTCTATTCACATTTTAAAATCTGAATAAAGAAATTTGATTGTTTATTGTACTTTATTAATTTTCATGTCTTAAGCTATAACTAGGGAAAAATACAAGAAGGAATACACTTGGTAATTTTGAGTGACACGTAAAGACCTTTGAAAATATGATTGTAACTTCTGATTTCCCCCATTAGATGAATTCTTTCACTCGTTAAATATTTATTGGTACCTACTATGTGTATTGCTCCAGGCAGCTGGATATAGGCCCTCATGTCTCTTACCTTCTAACGAGGGAGACAGACATTAAAGAAGTAAATGAACATAATGTCCGGTGGTCACAAGTGCTGTAAAGAAATATATATCAGGGTCAGTGGATGGAGTGATGGAAAGTACTGATTTGTATAGGATAGTCAGGAAAGGCTTCTCTGAGAAGGTGACTGTTGAGAAGCATCCTGAACAATGTAAGAGAATGATGGCAGAGGGGATCCAAAGGTGTGATTATGCATGACATGTTTGAGAAAGATCAGGATGGGTACCAGTCATAAATACAGAGTAACAGAGCAGTATTCATGATTCAGATTTGTCTTTAGTGGTATGATGTTCTGGTTATTTGAAGGGTTATTTGCAAATAATCAACACTGCAATTATAATTCTGTGAATAACAGTGATCTTTGTGCCATAGCTATAATTGGTAAAGATTTTTTCCTATGTTTTGCAAATCTGTTGACATTTACTTTAATAACATGAAATTATGTTATATATTTTTTTCTCTCCATAGACAGCAATGGATCAACTTCATATGCACTTCACCCAAGCCATTCACAATACCGTGTTTCAAGTTGTTCTTGGTTATGTGGAACTATGTGCAGGAAACACAGATACAAAATTCCAAAAGCTGCAATATAAGGATCTCTGTACAGTATGTAGTAACTTAATTACTGTTGATATGTCTCTTTTTTAGTTTTTAAATTCATATTCCATCTTTCTTAGCGCCTACTCTTTGAAGAAATAAAAACAAATATGTTTGCCAAAAGTTTTTTTTCATCCCATATTATTCTTTTCCTCAGAGAAACTGGAAGATTCAGTCGCGCAAATGGTAAAGGTTGATGAGATGGTGCACAGTTGTGGAGTGCAGTTGCTTCTAAATGGACTCTCTACCGTCTCATAGCTTCTTTTACCTTCTCTCTCAGGCTCTTAATGCTCTTCTATGATTGCATCCAAGGTGCTTCTAAGCAATCGTCTTTGCTAGTTTTCTGTGTACACTTGCAGTCTTTTTGTGTTTATAAGTGCTGTTCTGTCAGCATTTATAGCTAATTTTTCTTCTTCATTCTTTTTTTTTTTTTTGTGAGGAAGATCAGCCCTGAGCTAACATCTATGTCAATCCTCCTCTTTTTGCTAAGGAAGACTGGCCCTGGGCAAACATCAGTGCCTATCTTCCTCCACTTTATATGGGACGCCGCCACAGCATGGCTTGACAAGTGGTGCCTCGGTGCTTGCCCGGGATCCAAACCCGGGCCGCCAGCAGCGGAGTGCACGCACTTAACCACTCTGCCATGGGGCCGGCCCCTCTTTTTCATTCTTAGAGAAACATAAGTCTGTAGATAATATAATCCACTGGTGAGAAGTGAACTTGTGTGGGCTCTGTTTTAGAGTTGGTCCTGCTGATGAATTAATGTAGAGTGTGAGGAAAAGAGAATGATGTACAACTGGGAGAATGGTGGTGTCATTTGCTTTTACAGGGATGCCTGGTCTGCAGTGGAAAGTCATGAATTTTGTTTGATACCTATTAACAATCAAGTAGACTTGTTGAGGAGGCAGTTGGATAAAAGAACCCAAGGAGATCAGAGCTGAAGTTATAGATTTGGGAGTCATCAGCATCTAATTGTGTTTAAAGCCATGATACTGGACAAGAAGATTGGGGAAAAGAGTATAGATAAAGAAGACACAAGGGCCCTGGGCCTTCTGACATTCAGGGATTGTGAGGAGGAGAGACCAGGAGAAGAGTCTGAGAAAGAGTAGCTGGCTGGGTAGGAGGAAGACTAGGAGCTAGTCGTGTCACAACAGCCCACAGAAGGAAGTGTTTCAAGAAGAATTCACTGTAAAGCTATCTCAGATGCTTCTGAGAGTCTGAATAAGGTGATAGCACAAAATTGACCACTTGATTTGACAATATGGAAGTCCTTGTTGACCTTGGTCTCTTTAATTCTAGCCCAAGAATCTTCTGTCTCTCACTAGAGATTTTCTTGAGTTTTCTCTAATGTCATCTCAGAAAATAACCATTCTAGGAAGTAGATATCTATTCTCTACTGTAATTATGTCCAGGAATTAGTGTGAAATTAAGCTAATATTCATTCTTCAGTGAGTTTATTGTCAAAAATGCAGGTTATATGTTCATTGGGAACTAGAGCAGTATTCTTACTTGAGCTACAACAAATATTCCAGAAGGATGTGATTGTATATGACAGGTTAAGAATTAAGTTAGTAATGACAATAGATGATTGTTAGTATAGCTAAAAATGTCTTTTTAAAATCACTTCATAAATCATGAGGACTGTTTCACAAATTTTACAAGTATTGTGTGATATGGTTGCATAGTTATATTTTTAAATATCCAGTTTTAAGTACGGCCATCCTTTGATAAGTTTCAATGATTTTGATATGTGTTGGTTTTATTTTTTTATTCGTATGTTTTCTCAGGTTGAGAGTATATATTTTTAAATTAAATATCCAAACAATTAATTTTATTTTTTGATTCTATTAGTGTTACCATCACTCATAGATGATGCAGTCACTAACAGATGATGTAAATGGTAAAGAAATTTATTACAAGTTATTGATTTTTTCTGTTAAAGCAGAAAATAGCTTTTAATAATTAAAACAAACATTTTAAACAAATTAGGCTTTTGTATTTCAGTCTTCTTTACTTTGGTTAGATCTGGTGTATGTGTACGTGTATGTGTGTAGTGTATTTTGACCATTACACTTTCATATGCTTTTAAAAGTCAGACATGTTTGTGCTTATGCTTCTTGAGGAAGTCCTCTGTGCAGTTACATAATACAAAGCTGAAAGTTGTATTTAGCTTCTAAATTTTTGTAAACAAAAATTTATGCTTAAGGTTTTACCATAGCATTATTTGTGAAGTAGCTATGTATATTTCAATTATTAGATAACAAAGGGCTTACCTTCTTGATTTCATCTTGAGTAAATGCTTGTTAAAATTACTCCCAAGAAACATCTGGTACTTCTTTATAAAATTATCTGTATATGTGTGATAGTAGGTGAGGTATATATAATTAAATTAAGGAAACAAGTGATTCATTGGTATACTAGAGCTTAGCCATAGAAAATATCCCCAAATACCTCCCGGCCCCACAGAACAGCAGGCACATATATTGTTATTCATCTAACACAGTTGTACAGTTCTGGTTTGTATTCAAGCTGTGCTAAAACATTTTGGTTTGAAGTGGAGAAAACTGGAGCAAATGCTAATGATGGCTTCATGGAGGAATTTCTTTTGAGGAAAGGATTTAACAGAATTAGGTATGTAGCTTCTTTGTGTTGAAAGAATAGACTTAGAGGAGCTGAATAATGAGGTGAAGAATGTGATGCATTTTAAGGTGGCTCATTTTCTTTGGCACTATTCTTGATAAAAAATTAAGGAAGTTAAGGGACCAGCCTGGTGGCATAGTGGTTAAGTTCACGCACTCCCCTTCAGTGGCCTGGGGTTCGTGGATTTGGATTCGGGTGCGGACCTACACAGATGTTAGCAGACTGGCACAGATGTTAGCTCTGGGACAACCTTCCTCAAGCAAAAAGAGGAAGATTGGCAACAGATATTAGCTTAGGGCCAATCTTCCTCACACACACACACAAAAAAATTAAGGAAGTTCAGAAATTACCCCAGGCCTCTTAGAAGTATTTAAGTCAGTGCTGCTCCAGGTAGGTAGGGATCTGGACGTCTCTTTGAAACCTAACTAACTTTTATAATATTGAGTCATATTTGACATGTTTAAACTAGGTAAGATTAGGAAGAAATTATTTCTCATCAGATTTATTTGTTTAGTTAGTTTGATGAAAAGATGTGAACTTTTAGTAACTGATTTCTATAAATGAAGGTGGTTAGCTCAGGAGAGGAAAAATGGAGGGAACCTTTAGAAGTTTAATAAATAAGCTGATGAAAGGAAATTTAGATGTGTTCTGGTGAGGAAGGTATATCAAGGTTCTGGAATGGCACAACTCAGGCAAAGGAGATAATTTTTGAAGGAGCCTTATATTAGAATGTAAGGTTCTTAATTTTTCAGTATGTGGCAATTGGGAATCATTTTAGCCCTGATTAAAAGTAAATGATAGGGCTGGCCTGGTGGCATAGTGGTTAAGTTTGTGTGCTCCGCTTTGGAGGCCTTGGGGTTTGTGGGTTCGGATCCTTGGCGTGGACCTACACACTGCTCATCAAGCCACGCTCTGGCGGCGTCCCACGTACAAAATAGAGGAAGATTGGCACAGATGTTAGCTCAGCAACAATCTTCCTTAAGCAAAAAGAGAAGATTGGCAATAGATGTTAGCTCAGGGCCAATCTTACTCAGAAAAAAAAAAAAGAGTAACTGATAATAATTATGGAGGAAGCACTAGTGCGAGAGCTTGTGTAGCAATGGAGTGTCAGGTAAGAAAGAGGCAACAGAGCCCTCAGGAGGTATATCGAGGATGTTGATGGCAGATTTTGGAAGTGAGAAGAAAGAGCCAGGGACTTGGGCTGTTGGTTTTCTCTGTACAGTAGCAATATTTTGAAGGAATTCCTTAATCTTAGATAAAGTTTAAATGCAAAATTAAAAAATGAAATAAATGAAATGGTACACTGATCAGAATTGAGAGAGGGATAAAGTTCTTATAAACAGGGCACAACTGTGTTTCCTTTTTTTTTTTTTTTGAGGAAGATTGGCCCTGTGCTAACATCTGTTGCCAGTCTTTCTCTTTTTCTGTTTTCTCCCCAAAGCCCCAGTACATAGTTGTGTATCATAGTTGTAGAGTTGTAGCTCTTCTGTGTGGGACACCGTCTCAGCATGGCTTGATGAGTGGTGAGTAGGTCTGCGCCCAGGATCCGAACCAGCTAACCCTGGGCTGCCAGAACGTGTAACCGCTGCGCCACCCTGCTGGCCCCATAAGTGTGTTTCCTTTAAATGGAAAGAGATTGGAAATGAAAAGAGAGAATCATCTGCTTACGCTTACTCATAGTATTTTTTTAAACCACTTGCAGATATCAGTCTGTTACTGAATGGGATAGAATGAAATTGAACTAATTTTTTTATATCCCTTTACAAAGAAATCTGTGGCAAAATTAGCGTTCTGTTCTTATTTACTTTGGTAAACAGAGAACTTCAAAGTTCTTAAGGCCAGCAGCATCCTGTCCTGTTGTGAAATTTTTGCCATTTGTGTCCTGTCACCATTGCTCTAAGTTTAAAAGTTTAGTTGGCTTTCAGCTTTTTGAAATCATTTTGCAATTGAATGTACTTATTTTTCTTTCTTTACTAAACTATGTTTTCTAAATGATTTGATTAGAAGCACAATTTTTTTTTTTTTATTTTGCTGAGGAAGATTGGCCCTGAGCTAACATCTCTGCCTATCTTCCTCTATTTTGTATGTGGGACGCCTCCACAGCATGGCTTGATGAGTGGTGTAGGTCCACGCCCAGGATCCAAACCCGCAGACGTGGGCCACCAAAGCAGAGTGAACTGAACTTAACCACTATACCACCGGGCCAGCCCCCAGTTTTTCTTTTTATAGTTTATCTTTCAGTCTGGTTTCCCTGTTTTTCTTGAATGTATTGGCTTACAGTTTTTAGATCAGTAATTTAGGTTCTTTTCAAAAATGTGTACAGGGCAGGCCCGGTGGCGTAGCGGTTAAGTGCATGCGCGCTGCTGCGG